ACAAGAGGTTGGAGGGCAAGGTGATTACCTCAGAGGTTGAGAAGGAACAAGGAAAGCCTAAAGAGACTGTATCCGGGGTTGGCGTATTTGAGCTGGCGCCTGATGAAAAGAAGAAGCATCTTGCTCAGGCTACTGCAACTCCCGTTGCTGTTGCTTCATGAACTCGAAACTTTCATAGGCCTCGATATCATAACGAGGCTGCCTGGATTGCATACAATGGCGTTATCTGAGTTTAATAGAATGATGACTATATTTTCAACTCCAATCTTCAACTCACTTTCAACATGTCCTACAGCGGCTTTTCTGGTCTTCTCAAGTCAAGAAAGATTGACATCCAACCCTTAGCTCTGCTTGGCATTGATCGAATGCTGCTGCTTCCTAAGGTAGGTAGGCGAAGGTCTTGTTATGTAGGGCATGATTCTTCGTTGAGGTAGTACGTCATACAGTCTCTGAGTTCCTCATATAATGATATTCTCCAGGCCGTCCGTAGTTGCTAGATGAGTATTGGCAAGCCACGAAAATCCGGCGCCAACCCCGAACATCACGGACAGACCTCCGGCATGATCCCGGCGCCGCGCGGCACTAGGACAGCCGGGGAGTAGCGGGGAAGTTCCCCACGTAATACCCCCTGAAGTCACTTAAACCGTGGGCCCCAACCAGTTAAATCCCGCCAAAATTCCCCTTTTCTCCAGTGCATCTTCCAGTTCCATCTCCGCAAATCGCACAACTCACTTTCGTACCCTTGTGCTCCCGATGCCGATGGGCGGACGATCATGGACGACTCCGCGCCGTCCTCCTCTTTCTCTGCGGCCCATTACTTCCCGGCACGACGCCGTGTATGGCAGGCATGCACCAACTGCCGGGCCCGCAAGACGCGATGCGACGCTGCCAAGCCAAAGTGCAGCCTTTGCGTGACGCAAAACGTAGAGTGCGTCTACCGCGACTCGAACCAGCCGCGCATCGAGCAGAATACCAGGATCTTGTTGGAGCGTATCCAGATGTTGGAAGATCGCTTGCTTTCTTCACCAGTGTTTTCTGGACAACAGCAACAGCAGAACCAGCAAGTTTCACAGCCGCCTTTAGATACGCCGTCACCACAAGCTACACGGCATGCGACAACTCCGGGATCGGCACACCGTACACAGCCCGAGACAGGTCTTGACTCAACGTCAATGAGGGACCAAACAGACGCGGTTCATACAAGGAACACTGATGGAGATGCTCAAATTCCAATTCCTTTATCTCATACAGCGAATGCGAACCATGTCTTTGAGTGGCCGATAGTAAAGCAGCTGCTATCAGAAACGGACTCGAAGCCAACACAGCCACGGCCAGCTTTTCCAGGAGGGCTGCGCTCAGCGGAAGCAACTGACATCTTCTTCCGCAAAGATTCAGGTACAGATTTTTCGATTTGCCCCCCAGAGTCTTGGAGATTATTTCAAGACCGGAGTCTCCCAGTATCCATCGATGCCGCTGATCGGTATCAGGAGGTGATCCATGAGTACTTTGCCGAAGTGAACATCTTCTTTCCTCTCCTTTCCCCCGAGGACATTGTCGAAACTTTCAACGAGGTAGTAGCATCGGAAAAGACTGCAAGCATAGTCGCTCCTCTTACTGCGCCGTCCCGGTACTGTCTGTTGTTGTTAGTGCTCTGCATGGGATCCTTTGTCTGCACCGGGGACTATCGCATCTCATTAGATGAAAGAGCAGGCCGAGATGGGGGTCAACACCAAAGACCCATAAGATCGAGCATTATCGGAGACTTTCCAGGGATTGATGAACAACTTTGGCGGAGAGCACGGTTGTTACTGGGGTTCATATCATCTGAAATCAGCCTCGAGGCAGCACAATGCACGATGTTGGCGAGGTCAGAATCATGCTAATAGTCTTCGCATTGTTCTACCGAAACTGACGTCTTGCAGTTTATACATGAATGCGAATGGAGCAGTAGCAGATTCTTTCCATTGGGCGCATGCAACAGCTGTCAAGTGCGAGGCGCTCGCGAAAAGGTGTGTACTCAGTCTTCAGAGGCTTGCAATTCCCTTCGGCGAGCAATTGGGTTACTGAAACAAGGAACAGAGCTGCCACAGGTGCAGGAAACAATGAAGGGTTCTCGGACGCCTTCCGCAGACTCTTTTGGGTCGCTCTGATCTACGAAGGCGACTTTGTGTCCGAGATCTCTATCACATTGCCGTCAGGTATAGCGCGATACGAAGACGTTGTGCCCTATCCAGCCCCTGAAACACCTAAGCAGCACAAAGACTTCACCATGGCCCAGGCGACACCAGAAGCAGATGTGGCGAGTCCGGCATCGTCGTCCTTCTACAGGACTGAGGAACTCGTCGCCTTCCAAATCAGCACCAACGCGGCAATCCGGCGGTTCCTCAACCGAGTCAACAGCGTCGTCTTTGATAGCAAAGATCAGTTCCGCATGACGCGCACCAACTACGCCAACTGGCTACTGCGGATCACCGAGGATCTTTGGTCCTATCACGGTGCGCTTTACCGCAATCTCCCCGATTTCCTGCTCACGAGTCAGCCTAGAAGAACGCCTGGGCAACAGCCGGAGAATGCGAGTTCTCCTATGACGCCTGGTATCATTAGAGTTGAGGAATTGGGCAATAATCCGTGGAACGTGCTGAGGCTCAAGGGTCGGTACTATGCGGGACAGTATATCATTCATCGCCCTTTCATCGAGTACGTGATGTTGAACATGGCGCACTTCGAGACACATCCGTGCCGGGAGGCGATATTGGAGCGGTGTAGAATGTGTCTAGAGGGATGTAAAGGGTTCATCAACGTTTTCGACATTGATCCTGCGAACAGCATCACTGGATTATTCGCTGGAGGGATGGTGTAAGTGTGAAATCTTTAGGCTGCAGAGCGCTTCTTCTGTTGAGACTCGTTGTTGACATCTGCTTAGGACCTTCACCATGGTTACCATACTTCGAGTGGCGACGATGTGCCCTGTATTCAAAGAAATCCTGCCTGAAGATATCGAGGGGGCAATGTTCGTAGGAACGCGCAATTTGCGGCGATTCAGCATTAGCGTTAAGGAGTTTGAGTGGCATTTGAGCATATTGCAAAGACTAGAGACGTCTTGTAAGAATAGAATGAGTGCTTAGTCAAAGACACGTCACTGTCGCATTCTGGAACGCGCGGATTTGGAAACAATATGCTCAGTAACAGAGACACCTGCCCGGGGATAGAGCTAACTATACGCCAAAAGCTGCCATACTTCAACAGAAGGTTTCCAACCCCATTAGACTCTTTGTGTGGTTTTCGCGGTGCGAATTACCTAACATGAAGTCTTTTGGAAACCTCAATACCAAGCTTCTTTTGCTGCACTGTTTCGACTTCACATGTCGATCAGACGAAGGGTGATTCCATTTCCCTGGGTCACATGGAGAAGTTGAAGAGACGCGTACTCGGGGTGGCTGACTCAATAGACGTGGAGAAGGTTTCATCTGAAAGAGTGAGAGGTGTCAACGTGGATGTCATCCAAACTTGCGACGTTGCAAGTCGCTGTAAGCGAAGCCAAATCTATGGGAACCGAAAGCGAATGGACAACTGAAGATCTCGAAGTCGGAAAGGAAAACTTCCCTACAGACTCGAATACAGCAAGTAACAATCTTGTTGACAAATCTACCTCATGTTTAAGTAGCGACGAAGATCCTACTAGTAAGGGCCAAAACTGTCCAGAACAACAACTCATTAAACATCCTGATTTACCACTCAAGCCATCTGCGCTGGTTTCGCATCTTTCTGTTATGAACAATACCATCTCTTCTCACATCTGTTCTTTGCTTTAAACCTTGATAGGACTACCTTCATCCAACACCAACTTAACAAAGTTTTGACTTATCCTCAACTTGGACGATACCTATCAAACATGAGGTTCTTCGCAAATGCTGCTCTCTTGATCCTCGGGCTGACCGCCTCTGTCAATGCGAGTATGTCTTACCACCAAATGCTTTCTGCACGAACAACTCTATCTGCACTTACTTGCATGCTAACGTCAATGTTGACAGCTCCCCAAAAGAAGGGTGGTGGCATCGCAGGCCAGGCCTGCACTGACGGGACATTCAAAGGAACTTGCTCCGCAGACGGTCGCTGTGGGTTGGAAATCCCGCCCAATGAGTTGTCTAGCCAGATTGTCGCCGGTCAATGCGGACGATAATTGATGTCTTCTACTCAGTGTTTCGAATACATCAGAAAGACAACCAAAACCAGATATAGTGACTGAATGTTATCAATGCCAAATGCACTTATTTCCTTGAGCCGCACCTCTGAGCTTGTAACTGTAGCGGTGGTCTTTGCGTGGCTTTTGCCGGATATACAACGTAAGTTGCACCAATTGTGAACACCGCTAGACTCTCGGCTATTTTCGGCCAGTTGCGGCTCCTGATCTCCCAATCTCCTGATAATATTGCTCAGTCAAGGTCTAAGTCAGAATGCGAGAAAAGAGAAATAACGGTTTCAGGGTCTTTGACATTGATGTTTGTCTCAAGTATTGTGGTGAGTCACCTCGCAGCTCATTGGTAGAATACCGAAAGTGGCTGCATCGTTCATTATGAATCATACCTCGCCAACGAGAAACCAAGGCTTCATTGGCAGATTCTTCTTGTTATAGTGGACCGTCTCAATCATGGCGCACATCCTCGGCCTGAACAGGATTAGTCCTGCGGCTCAGATTCTGCGCCATCAGCCCCGGCTTGAGAACTTGTCGATGCTCACAGCGCCATCTAGCTTGGTGATCTGAAGGTTTTGTGAATAAACGTAGTTATATAACCATGGGAATCATTCGAACAGAAATTATTTCATTCTATCAATTCATTCGGAAAGACGACTTCAATTCTTCAATACAATAATAGGATCCAGTTCCGCCACCTCTCACGACTAAGACAAGAAGCTAATTTCACTCAAACAACCACTTATAAATGCCGGGTGCAACAACTACAGCAACGAACACAGCAACAGCTGCGCCACTTTGGGATTCCATGGACTCGCTCTCAGATCAGAATAACAACAACATACTATATTGCCCGAAAGAGTTAATTGACTCTCACAACGCGGCCATGCAACTATTCATTTCTGGACAGTGCCTGTTCTGCCCCAATCTCTCACCAGACTTCCTTGTCAGTGTAGCTCACATGCAAAGGTCACACGGCCTCTTTATCCCACATCGGCAACATCTAGTCGTCGACCTGGAAACACTCTTCAAGTACTTACACTTAGTCATATTCGAATACCGGGAATGTCTGCATTGCGGGACAGAGAGGACAACGGTGCAAGCTGTGCAACAGCACATGATCGGCAAAGGTCACTGCAGGTTTGACCCAGCAGACCAAGACTCCGAATTTGCCGACTTTTACGACTTTACTTTCTCAGAGGCGGCAGACAATGAAGTGAGTGCCTTTGAGAGCGACGAAGAGGAGTGCGATATGCAGAACGCGCCAGCAAGTCCAAGTCGACAGCCGCTACAGGTTGATGAAGACTCTCTTCGGTTGCCGTCGGGCAAGATCATATCCAAGCGGTCCTCGGAACAAACGGGATTGTCTATCAATCACCTAAGACGTCGAATGCGAATCCCACCTTCACAGCTAGAATATGCCCGGGTAAAATCCGATGAAGAGGAGTTCAGCGAGGACCCGCTGCATCCTGGTGGGACACAGGCACTGTCGAAGAGAGAAAAGCGAGAGAAGGCAGTGATTACAAAACAGCTAGCAAGCATGCGGGCGGATGATCGAAGTGCCTTGATGCACTTATCTGCGTCGGAGCAGCGATCGCTGCTGGCAGTGCAGTACAGGAACGAGGAAAAGATACAGAAGGAGAAACGGCGCCGGCAGGGGAAGATTGATCGGAAGGGGAACAAGAACTTGTACGCGTACTGGAACACAGAAACACCTGTCTACCAGTGTGGATAGATAATGCGCTGTATCGGATTTCAATGAACGTTGGCATTGTCTTGTGCGCCAATTTACTTGAAGAATGGATATGCGTTGCCGTTATCTTCTTGTTTGCAGAATTGGACGTGGCATTGTAAGCATTCCGACGATAGCTGGAGACAATTCAGGCCCAAATAGCTCTACTGCTATTGAGCTTAAGGATGTTGATATAGGTTCGGAAATCACGCTTTTAAACCAACATCTACGTCATGCAGCAGACCGACTAGGTTGACCTTGCGTTGGATTGATGTTGATGGAGACCTGTCAAACGTCAGACAGATTGGCCGATTCCTGGATCTCCCACGGAACAGGGTAAAAGGGGAATTCTTGTTTATCTGGCGTCTATGTAATCCCCCCATTTGGGACTTGCCTTTGGCCAATAATTGATTGAACGATACTGTGGGCGGAATCTGCTCTACATATAGTCTTGCCCGAATGCACGCACTACATGTATGGTTCTGTGGCCCTCTCAGCGAGAATGGGACGGCCCAACTAAGAACTCTGGGAAGAGAAATGGGTGCTGAATAACTCTCGCGGGATGCGGACTATCTCGCTTAAATCAGACATCTTGGCTACTTTACCACGCGAAGACTGTGTAAACATGTAACCTCTTTCTGTGTGCCAACGAAGGTTATGAAGATGACCTGGCGTATATCGATTGCTATTAAGATCATGAAAAAACGCAGCAGGCAGAACGTCACAGCTTTACAATGTGCGATGCAGCTTTCCCTGCACGCATGCAGTGGAGGGTACAGGGGATGGATGGAGGGGTTAACACGGCTTCTCTCCGCGATGCAAGGGAGCTCCCTTGCCATGTGGCTGCCAATTTAAGATTGCCGGCTCCTTCTAGAGAGCGAGAGCGAAGTACGAAGAAGTACGTACTACTTGCATGCCTTCGGCTCCATGTATCATGGGTTGATTTAAGGGTAAATGTTGAGTTATGTGCGCCGTAGAAATGAAAGCCAGTACCTAGTTAACTATGCCTTCAGTCTTAAGCCTTTTTCTCTGGGCTCTTCTAGAGCAAGTCACTTATCCAACAATGCTATGTAATTCTGGCTCCGTTTCGAGGTTAGGGGGCACGAATGAGGTCCGAACAATTTGACAGGTGCCGGTGTCAGCAGTTGATTGCTCCCGTTGGAGTCTGAAATCAAACTGCTCGGCAGTGGAAACAAGGTTGCCTACAACACCTTAATTGTACATATCTACACACCTCCACCCACCATTAAACAAACTTGATAAGGCGGCACAATGTCCGACAGGCCGCTCTACTTTGTCCGTTGATGCAGTCCAGTCCGCTGGATTGCTCCGTGCACTCCGCAGGCCTGTATCGTTGGCCCTAATGGGTACTCACAAGGCCTAGGAAAAAATTTGCGTACCTGTCACCCTGTCAAGCACGTTTCGAATCGAAATTAAGGTCATGGGCGTGCGGTGCCTGTACCCTCCCCATCCCAGGCGCTCTACCGTATTCAGGTGACACTTCAATTCGCTGAAGGCTTTGGAAGTGCGCTGCCCAGCCGGTCACTACGTTTCAACTGCCCAGGCCCGCAGAATAGGTGCATCTTCACCCTTACAGAGATACAGCTTGCTGGGATCGACGGCCCACGGGATGCACGGCGGACCTGCTGGGGAGGCGGCAGTGATGGGACGAATAAACGTTGAGATCGGGCGGCTCGGAAGAGTAAAGGTGATAGATACTAAAGAAACGCTGTTGGCCTTCTTGGAGGTAAGGCCTTTTGGGTCTGTCAGTGTGAGCTTGTCTTTCCTTCATCCAGTCCCAATCCCGTGTCTCTCTCTTTGATAGGTTTGGTGATATCCGTTCGTTTCATTCCACCTCTCTTCGTACTCCCTGTAAACCACTTCAAGATGCTTCCTACTACTTCTCTTTTGCTTGCCGGTGCTGGCATCGCCAACGCATACACCATTGCCGTGGCCGAGCCCTTCATGCGCAAGAATATCGATCCCGTCGTCATCCCGGGCCAGTACAAGAGCCACATGCACACCTTCTTTGGTTCCGATGGCGTCACTCTCAACACGAACACCTCTGCCGAGCTCCAGGCAGGTTGCTCAACTGCCGAGAACCCCAATGACTACTCCTCTTACTGTAAACTCAAGCCCAACCCTTTTCTTAAGCCACAGCCATTTCCCTAATCACAAGACGATCTCTTGCTGACTTGAACTCGGAAGGGGTCCCAACTCTGTACGTCAAGAATGACACCGGCATGACCCCAGTCCCCTTCTCTCGCTTCAGCGCCTACTACGTCGCCATTGAAAGCGCTGAAGTCGCCATCCCCCAAAACTACAAAACCGTTGCCGGAAACTCCAAGGGAACCACACAAGCCGACGTCGAGGAACTCGCCGGCATCCAATGGTTCTGCGAAGGCGACCCTACAGAAGAGGGCAAAGAGGTCGCGGCGTGGCCGACAAAGACTTGCTCCACGCACCTGCAGACCCTTCTCCTCTTCCACGACTGTGTCAACGAGCAGACGCTCGAGTCGGCCTACTCAGGTACTCAGAACTGGAAGGACGGCTTCAAGCCCGCGAACCGGTGCCCCGAGGGCATGAAGCGCCAGCCGCAGCTTCGGTTCTCGATTCGCTACGATCTCCGCAAGGTGCTTCCGGACGGATGGAACGGCACGCCGCCTTTTGAGCTTGCGTGCGGTAACTCGTTCTGCTCGCACGGCGACTTTATCAATGGGTGGTTGCCCGAGGCTGCTACCAACATGCTCAAGGCGAACAGCAAGCGCGACTTTGCTGGTGTAGATGGACCTGATGGGAAGTACAATGCTGGTTCCAAGTGCGGCGCCGAGAACGCGGTAAGTAGTCCCCTCGACGCAATGATGGAAAGAGCGGGACTAATATCAATACAGAAGGATGCCGATCCCAACAATGGCACCTCCGACTACGATGAGAGTGTCAAGATGATGAGCGCCAAGCGAAGCATCGGCCAGCGCTCTCAGTCTCGTCGCGCCTAAAGAATGATGACTTGAGCTTATTCATAGGTAGACTATCACGAGTCCCCAAATCTGGTTCCCTGGGTGGCATTTGTACGCTTCATTTCGAGGGGGTCGTGAAATTTATGAAGGTTATTCTCGTTCTCATGTACAATATTGAGCTTCATGTACATATACTAGGTCATACATGTCAAGTGAAGATGACTGATGCACAGGGGTTTCGTCTGCACCGACCTGCTTTGAAGCACTATTCAACAACGCTGAAAAGACATGTCTAAGCATTTCTTACGACAATGGCGTGCGTCGATACCATCCGTATCTTTCCAAAGCCTAAGGGCTGTGCAACGTCCGATTCACGGTGGAACGATCGGGAAAAGTACCCGTGGTCTCAGCCTTATCATTGCTTGTATCAAACTTGTCTAACAGCACGGATTGAGCTGATCGCTGCATGGGGTTAGTCCTCCAAAGTCGCATTCCAGGCCATCAGCGGGCAAGAGCCAAATTCTTGGCACAGTGCCTTTGAGTATGGTGAACCAAGAAGCGCTAGAACTTACTGTAGGTTTTTATCTTTCCCATAGATATGGGCAAGTAGTTACGGAGTATGTTTACAAGCCGTCTGAGCACAATAGACTGACTGCGTGATCAACAAATTTCATAGCAGACTTTACCGATTCTATATGTAGACCACTACGTACATACAAGCTGTGTCTCTGCCCCGATCACGTCCTTAAGAAATATCGCTCACCCAGGACCAAAGACTAGTCAAAGACTCAGTCTGTGTACCAAATGTGTATATGCCTCATCCCATTAGAGCCGCCATGAGGACCAGCCCAGCAACTAACATAAACTTATAAATGGCGGATGGGCCGTACTGCTTGAGAGAGCCGCTCACTGTATTGGTAATAGGAACTAATGACGCTGTGTGTTAATTTCTTGACCAAAGAATAACAGCAAATTACAAACTCACGTGAAGTGGTAGCTGGCAGCGAAGGCATGACACTCAAATCAAGCAATCCCATCGTTGGGGCCTGTTCTGGGTTCGACTCGTGCGCCGTCACTGCTCCGTGAAGGCTCGCCGTTAGTGACGTGTCTTTGCTGAGAGGCAGAGTCTCGCCGGGGGCCGAGCCGGATTGCAAAACTAATCCTTGAGGGTTTTGGGCAGCAGTAACACGTGTAGACTCGGATGGCAATGCTGCACTTGGGAAGTCGGTCATGCTGAACAGGGAGTATTGAGGATCTATGCCAGCAGGTATGGTGATAACCCCCGACGCCCTGACATCCTGCGCTACCTCCGACACTGGACGTGTGATTGTTGCCACGACGGGAGTCGGGCCACACGTTGTGCAGGTCTGAACTTCTGCGGTAAACCCGAAGGGGACACCGGTAGATGTCACTGTAGGTTTCGAAGGCATCCCACGATATGTCTCCGTGACAGCATACATCTGCTTAGCGAGGCCTGTGGAACAGAAAGCATCGTATTCGGTCGTGTAGAAGACTGTGTGCACGCAAGTATCGCATCCGCATTTGTTGCAATTTGGAGCCTGTAGTTGAACGGTGATGGGCTGTCCTGTGACGGCTGGTAAGCCGACAGCGGGAGTCGCCATGCAGCTGCCACGTAACGGAGCGAATGGCTGCTTGGTGAAGCACTGGACGATGGTCGCAGTACGACACACAAAGAGAGTCGTTTGAGAAGAGACTTCCATTATTGTAATAACGATGATAATAACGAAGAACTTGACGGAGGGATTTGTCTTTGGTCGCTGAATCAAAGCAATCGACTTCAACTTTCAGTGAGAAATGACAACGCTTTATGTCGGTAGATGTAGTGTGAGGGCATGCGGCCATCAGACTTGCCAAATTCGCTTGGAGGAAGTATTTAGAGGCGAGCTCAGCAACAAGTGTATGTGTCTCTCATTATATAATAACGCCGAGTACATATGCGTAAGTTCCGACGGCCTTTGAGCCGTAACGATGTGAGAGCTGCCTAGTGGCTGGCTGAAATATGGAACTTTGTTTTAATGGACATATCAGACCCAACCGTGATGTCGGGACGCTGACCGCCTAGGCCTGGTATTGTGGCGTTTTGTGAGGCTATTCTCGGTCTAGCTACATACCTAAATCGCGCCTCACGTTTCACTGCGTTCCATCTCAGTCTTTTGTCAATTACAATCAGTTGATTGTCTGATACTGAGGCTTGATGTCTCGTTGAAATAAGAGTTTCTGTCCCGCGGAGTTGAGATTTGATGTCTCGTTGTAATATTGTGGAGCATCTTCTCTTAGTATTGATTGCTTCAATTACGAGCGACCTTTTGCTCCCCGGCGCTGGACCTTGACATATATGTATCTGGCAATCATGTCGTCCATTTGCTGATGCGTTGAAGAGCCCTCACTATTATGTGTTTTACATAATTGACACCATCGCAATTGCCATCATGAGACCTCGTTCTGTACTCAGGTTACTTTTCCTTCCGCAAACTATCTCAGCGTCTGTACCATCCTTTGACCATGCGAATGACTTATCAGCAACATGGTGCTTCACTTACTTATCGACTTACCTGGAGCCTACGACGATAGATGCTGGCTCAACAGGACTGGAGACCACCCCAAACTCAACTTCTATCGCTGGCGCACCTTTGTCAACAGAAACAAACATTGAGCTTTCCACAAACCCTACGTCTGGGGTTTCCGGAACTTCAAGCTTTTCTCTGGGCACTTCTCTCTCGGTTACGGAACAGATTGGTGCGTCGGCAACAACCCCGTTGACAATACCTACTTCACAACTTTCTTCGTTTTCGGTCGCTGCATCTGATACTTCGTCGACTCTACTCACCACAACTTCGTCCGCCAGTCTGACCTCCAGCAGACTAGCCCCGACCACTGCTACTAGCTCCGGTTCATCTACGTCGACATCCGCGCAAGTTGCTGAAACTGTGATCTTTTTCGTTACTCCAGGCCCACCTTCGACTTTGAAACGAAATCTGAAGAAAAGGGTAATGGGTGGTTTCGTGAACCACAACACCAACGCAGATCGTCAGCTATGCAACACTGCAACAGTGTTTTCCTTGGTTGCTGGCGAATTACTAGACGGCGGCGTACCTGTGTATTACTCTCCAGGTGATAGCCATAAACCTCTCAATGCTATGGGAATGCGACCGAATAACGCCATTACAACAACATTCAACGTTTTCGATGGGATTCTTCGATTCTACCATCCATCCCTCCCTGGTAGCCAGGCAAGCTTCTGTCAGGATACTACTGGACAGGTCCACGTCACCTTTACGTCACGACCGCCTGATTGCGATCCAGTTTCTCTCTTAGCATATGGAGGTAAAGTTCACCAATAACTTTAGCTTGTCCACCCTGACGATGCCGAAGCTAACATTCACATGGGATAGTCGACTTGTGTCAAAACGGCCAAATACAACTTCCTAGCTCGTCTAGTCAGGGTATCACAACGTCGATTACAGCGAATTCGAATCCGGTGGGAGTTTCAATCACCGCCACAAGTAATCCCTTTGCGACTTCTCCAAGCGGGTCAGTTCAAGACCTTGTTACATCGTCCCGCTCTACGTCGACAGCCTCTAGCGTTGTCATCGGGTCGCTTGGGACGTTGAAACCCAGCTCCAGCATACCAACGTCAACGGCATTGGACACAGTTCTTCAATCTTTTCCGTCATCATCATTGCCACCCTCATCGTCCTTATTGTCCTCGGTCTCAACTTCATCATCATTATCGACAACGACCTTTCTCACCCAGACATCGACAACAGTTGAACCAAGATCTTCCCCCTTGACACGCTTCTTGAATTCTACAACTATTGAGATATCAACATCTTCGACAAGCATGCCCGATACCTCTTCAAGTACCTCGGGAACATCCAGTCTGCCCTCTATTTCATCCACCATCAACTCAAGCCCCTCAAGTACCGCTACTTCGGGTTCCTCGTCCAGCAGCTCAAGCACGACTATTTCGCCATCAATGAGCAACCCAAGCTCGTCAACTACCGCTAGCTCAAGCTCCTCGTCTAGTAGCTCAAGCACGAGTGCTGCGCCTGTGTGTACTCCTGGTGTCGAGTTCGCCACCTACGTCTTTCCTCGAACTTCTGTGCCTTGTCAAGAGCTCTTGCGGGTGTACTCTGATTCGACCCAAAGCGCAGCAGACTTGAACTTGACTACGGTCATGCAAGGTAGAACGCCTCTTGGCACAGGCTTTACTCCGCTCGTCTCATGGAGTACTAGCCCGGGTGACGAAACAGGTCCCACAAACATCTATGGAGTGCGTGGCCCGGCAGGCACGACGTGGAGCAATTCGTGTGATCTGATTCAACACCGGGGCTACCTAAAGTTCAACGAAGCGAAGACTTGGTTCCTGACAATCGATGTGCCTGATGATTTCGGGTTTGTTTGGTTTGATGGTACATTCTCGTCAACTGTGGCCGGAGCTTACGGTGCCAATGCCGGTCAGATCACGGCAGACTACTCCCGTCGAGCCAGGATGACTGCTGCAAACGTCCTTGTACGTGACTCTGAAAGATACATGCCTTTTCGAGCATTGTTCCTCAACGCTGGCGGTCCCGGTAGCCTCAATATGCCACTGCCGCCCGGCGTAGAATTCGTATCGGGTTGTTCTGACACGCCTGCTACTCCCGCTTTCCCTCCGTGGGAAGCGGAGAAGTGGACTCCGTAATCAGCACCACACTATCACCTCGTCACCTGATCCTGTGTGGCCAGGCGGCGTATGTCTTTCTCAGGATCTCCGGTTTCTGCACTGCGACATACCCTTTCTTTCGCTGCCAGGAAGCCTTCGTCTGCATTCTTAACCCGATAGGCGACATGACATAGCTATCTTCAATGGTTTTGCTTCGGTCTTTAGCCACGGATGCGGCTGGAGTGGCAGTTATCCGCTTGCCGCTTGTGGTAGCGTTAGTCATTTGGCTGCCTAATAGTCAAGCTGTTAATTGTACTGAAAATAGAGATTTGAACTTCGTTCACTTGTGCCTACGGTGCTTTGCAAGAAATTTCGTAAGTCTATTGCGCTGATATCGCCCTATCGTGCGGCTAGAAAGGCCTTTACTCGTCGCCAAAGGAATGTCGCTTTTCCCGACAGCTGCTAGATTGCGTCCATATCAGGACGTCACTCTCAATCTTTGCGTCCCTTCGAAGTTTTTCACGAGGGTTTGAATGGAAAGTAATGCCAATTTAATATATAATTCGTTGTTGTCTATGATCAAACTATGTATCTGTAAATTGACGTCAGTTTGTAGTTGAGGGGATAGTTTATTGAAAGACGATGACCCTTGGCCAGAAGTATCACATTGCCTTCCTTGCTTACCGTCGAATTGCTAAGGTGCTCTGGAAATCGCTATGAAGGGATAACCCAGATGTTCATTCATTAGGAAATTGAGATAAGCATTAAACTACCTAATAGGAGCGTGGATTGTCAATATTACACACCATCTAGTCTGTGTTACATCCAATTTACCCCAGTCGACAAGACGATGACACTGGGGAGCAAGTAGGAGCATGTGTAACCTAGATTCGGGATGCAAACATACCCTACCTGAAGAGACGAGTTTCTTTGAACAGCCGAATGAGGACTGAAGATGTTTTTGCTCATTTTGAGGCCTTGAAAGCCTTTCAATCCTGGCCACTGTCGGGCGTTGCAGGCGGTGATTCGTCGTACCTCTCGGCATCATCAGAAATTCTCACGACCGCGCTGCTCGTCCAAATATGCTTTCCCCTGTCAACCTTGAGCCCCAAAATAAGTCCCCCTTTGATGCTGACTGTTGATTTAGGTACTCCATTCTCATCGTAAGTGCGATGAAAGACCCGAGTCCCGCATAGCCGGCAGAAGAAGCAGTCCATGTGCCCGCCGCTCTTTGTGAGACGAGTCCAGACCTGGAGCTTCGACTTGAGATCATCCGTGAGTGGGAAGAGGCCATCGGCGGGGAAGATTGCCGATGTACCAAAGGCTGATGCGGATTGTTTGCGACATTGCGAGCAGTGGCAGCAGTAGATGTCGAGGGGCTCTGGTGCTGGGGTCTTGAATTCGACAGTACCGCACTGACACTCCACGTCCATTTTGAGATGAAGTCTGATAACGGCTGACAGACTGAAGTTGGAACTGTTGCGTAGTGGACGTTCTCGATAATACGATGTAGGCTTCCAGTTAGATAGTTTTCCAGTTGCGGAAATGAAAATAAGTCAGAATCAACATCAACTTTGGAGGATGTTGTGGTGGTTGTTCAGGTTTGACACGCGAAGGGCGCCAACGATCAGCTACTTTCGCCTCGATCAAGTCGTCATCGTTGATTGGCTGGCTTCCTGCAGGCGCGTGAGCTCCCCATTTTGAGCTCGACTTCCTGATTACTGAAATTTGCGTCGGTGTATGAGTGCTCGCGGGGATACACCTCACTCGCCCATTGGTACTGTGAGGTGAGATTGATATTTCAGTGAGATAGATCTGTGAGACGAGATTGAGGTGAGTTAGCGATGAATATGAGATGAGTCAGCACTCAGACATGACCTGGAGCCCCTGAGCGCTCCCTTCCCCCGGCCATGTGTGGTCTGAACTAGTGCCAACTTCAGCGCGTCAGTGATCGCTGGTGTTCAAGCTTTCTCATTTAGCCGGGACGAACAGTCGCATTGCAACATCACCAACTTCATCTGGTTAAGAATCAAATCTTCCCCAGGATCCGGAAGATCTCACCCTTGGCGACACCCGGTGCCGCTATGCCGATTCAGCCGCTCTGAGAAAGCACGTGGACAACTTCCCCCGGCACCCAAAGAGCTGAAAAGTCTGGTTCTGTTCAATATGCGGAGAAACCATCGTCGTCTGAATAGCAGCCGCCCTGATATACCCCAGTCAACTCGGCCGGGGTGGCCCATCAGACCCCCGCCAAAAAATTCTCCCTTTTGACCGTGACCCTCCGTTCCAGATTAAGCACCCCGCGACCAGGAAAAGAGCCTAAATGAGACTGCTCAATCAATGCTGTCACCGGCTTCCCTCCCGCACGCTCATCTAGATTGCTCTTGACCCAATGTAGTCGAATCGAGCCACCTAGAGGCCCCTCACTGCCGGCCTCGCGCCGTGGTACTCTTAAATCTTGCCCCTGGGAGAAGCAAGGTTCGTCTTGGGCCACGAAGCGAACTCCCGAAGAGGTCGCATCCGGCCGTTCACCCCATGTCCAATGACCCCACAAAGGAGGTGTTCCCGTCTTTTTCGTTCTCTAGTCGTGACGAGATTGAAGTGCTTCGTGTGGGCTCATCATCGCCTGTTGAGCGCATCTATTGAATAAGCATATATAAGACAGTTTCTCAGCCAGGTCATTCCTGTTTCTGAAGCTTGATGTCTACAACCATCATCAGCTCTCTCACTGCTCTACCTTCTTCGACGGAAAATCCGATTCGCCAATCATGCTTCTCGATACTATCGTCACCGGTCTCTTGATGGCCGCCAGCGCGGCCGCCATTCCCATCGAGAACCCCATGGAACTCATCAAGCGCGCCCCGAGCGCAGGAGTCGTGATCCAAAAGTGCGCCAAGCCGGGCGTTTTCGCCCTCGCCTACGACGATGGCCCGTACCAGTACACTTCCCAGCTCGTCGACATCCTGAACAACGGCGGCGCCAAGGCCACTTTCTTCATGACGGGCACCCTCTACGGCTGCATCTACAACCAGCGCACCGCCGTCAAGAAGGCCTTCGACTCTGGCCACCAGATCGCCTCGCACACCTGGACCCACCCGTCCACCTTTGGCAGCTTGACCACGGCGCAGCTCACGACCGAGATGCAGAAGCTCGAACAGGCGATGGTCAACATCATCGGCAAGAAGCCCGCGTACATGCGCCCACCGTACCTCGCCACTGGCGGATCCGTGTTGTCGACGATGAAGACGCTGGGGTACAAGGTCATCACTGATGATGTTGACTCGGGCGACTGGAACGGGCAGACGCCTGCGCAGAGCGAGGCCAAGTTCACTGCGGCTGGCGCGAGCGGCAACGGACATATCCCTCTCATGCACGAGACCTACGCCACCACGGTGCAGACTTTGACGCCGTGGTTGATCAACTGGGCGAAGCAGAACAACCTCAAGCTGGTTACTGTTGGTAAGTGAAGTGCGTGGGCATACTCA